GAGAAACTCTGAATTAAGAGGGATTGCTCGTCAGGGCGTCTTGGTTCGATCGCTCCCTCCAGGCTCCCCGGGATTCTCCTGCATGAGGCTGTACTTTCATCACCCCGTAATCCACAGCTTGTTCCTGTCTGTACTTCCGGGGACTTGGCGGGCAAACTGTTCCTCAGGTGCTGTGTTGCTGGGTTAATCTGGGCCTCTGAACTAGCTGGTGCCATGGGGGCGCTCGAGAGAAAGGCACTTTTCAAAGTTGACTCAGGCCGCTATTCAGATCACGTTGTTATTCTAAACCAAAGATCCCAGCGCGCACTGTTAGTGGTGTTTACCTTCCCTGAAAAGACAACGCGGGGTAGCCACCGTGCAGGTCTCACGGGGGTCTGGCTCTGAGAGCACAGAGGCACGCGGCAGGGGAGTGATGGGGTGGTGCGGGGAGGTTTTCCAAACTTCTCTCTTTGGGTTGCAGAGATCTAGGTTAGTTACCGCGGTGAGCCGCTCAGCCGTCCAGGCACAGGGTATGTGGGCCAGAAACGGAAGAAAAAAACTCAAGCCACTCATGAGAGAGGCTTTGACCTTTGTGTTCTTCCTCTTGGAGAGTTTTGTTTTGTTCGGTCATGACAGGGCAGTTCAGTCATGATGATGCCCACCCAGACTTGATCACAGAGTGAGGGGCATCGGCGGATCTGCGACAGTAAGCCTCCATTGCGGCAGGGCATGCCCAGGATATCCCAGACGCGGGACCCTATGACCGTCGCCCTGGTGGCCTCACGCGGCATCCACGTGCAGTCTCGACCACCATCCACGTGCAGTCTATCACTGCCTTATCACTCCATTCACAGACCGTCTGGCTGGGTAAGCCCCGAGAACTGGTCTCTGCATTCTCCCTATGCTTTCGGTAAGGGAGGAAATGGAACGAACAAGCCATCGATCGGCTCTTACTCCAACGCGTCTTTGGACGTTTCCTTAATCGAAGGTCTGAGAACAGGCGCTTAACCCAACTTCACAGGTTAGGGAAGGGAAGCCAGATGGGTAGAAGTACACCCAGGGAGGGCCTCTCTTGGCTCTGTGACCAGTCCAGCTGCGCCCAGAGGAACAGTGGTCCCAAGTGGAACCCACGTCCTCAGCCTGTAGACACAGATGCAGAGCGGCTTCCTCGGCTCGGATCAATGCCCTTTCCCCACGACGACGAGTGAGAAAAAAATCAAAGCCATGTTGAATTCTCTCATTCCTGATGAAAAGGAGGCCAGGCTGGGAGGATGGGGGGGACTCAGCCAGGGAGGGGCAGGGAGGTGTTCTCCATTGAGCTTTCTCTGCTTATGCGATAGATCTTCATTATCTACACTGTCTTGTGGCTCCACTCTTCCCCAAGGAGATACTTCATGACATAACTGCTTAATAAGCGATGGCTGAGGCTCCCAAAGAGGGGACGGAAGGGCAGGGCAGGAGCCTTCTGTCTCCCAGTTCAGTGTTTCCTCCCTCTCAGCTGGTCTGTGAGACGCTGGCTGAAGGAACGGCTCTGGCTCCCACATGCTCTGTTGGAAGGCAGTCAGCAGGGGACCACAGTCGCTTGCCCACGTGGAGGAGAACAAGGCCTCGGGTTTGCACGCTCTTCAGCACAGACGTCCTGTTAGGCAGCCCCTGCCTAACGCGCCGCCCTGTAGTCACACTGCTTTTATTTTAACCACCAAATGTGTGGCTGGTGCTCGCTCTGTGCCAGGTGGGAAGAGTCCCACAGGACTGTTCCATCATAGCGGCCGCCAGCTCACTCACCGGCTCACTGCCTGTCTTTCTCTGACTGGAGCTCAAGCCCGCCCCTCCCAGGCACACACATTTCCAACTTCTTCACTGTCCAGGATTCTCCGCCAAGATAGAGAGACAAGAAGCAACATTGCTCTCTTGGAGAAATAACCTGGGAGACGCTAAGAATTATGCATGGAGAGATGACTCAAATGTTGTTTCTAAGTCTGGAAAAATCCAAGCCGTCTTAGTGTTCAGTGGTAGAGGATCCATCAACAAACTATGAAGGGCTATCATGTAGAGGTTAAAAAATCCCATTTCCAGTGAGTAGGTATGCTAAGGGGGGGTGGGGTGTTGCGGGATATTTGATTGCACTGTGTAAAGATATGTCACTGTGACTGGTTTCATAAAACGATAAATGGCCAATAGCTAGGCAGGAGGTATAGAAGGGACTTCTGGACAGAGAGAGCTCTGGGGGAGAAGAAAGGGGGAGTCTCCAGCCAGATGCAGAGGGAGCCAGACAGGCAAGAAGAGAGGTAAAAGCCACAAGCCACATGGCAGCACATAGATGAATAGAAATGGGTTAATTTAAGTTTTAAGAGCTAGTTAGAAACAAGCCTAAGCTATAGGCTGAGCTTGCATAATTAATAATAAGTCTCTGTGTCATTTTTTTGTGAGCTGGCAGCCCAAAGAAAAAAATCTGTCTACAGGGCGGTGTGGTGAAACTCACGTTAGATAGGGTGGCGTGGAGACAGCTATTATCAGTGGTGAGTTGGGAGGGAAGGTTCTGTGGCAAGAATATTTTATTACTGACATTGTTTGGAATTGCTGTCACGATAATCATAAAATACAGACAGCCCCTTGCTGATTTTATTGTTGCCTTAAAGTCTGCTATAGACAATTACCCTTGATGACTGGACTTGGGTCTCAGTGAGCCTTTCCCCTTGGCACTCACAACTCAGCTGCTGTCCATAAAATGCCATTTATTGGTCCTTCTTGCTGGTCTTGCTCACTGGACTTGACATGAGAACATTTGATAGTTAGGATGCTGAACATACTTTCATGTGCTTAGGGGACATGGATATGTCCTTTGTGACTAAAGAGTTGGGCATTTTTTAATACTGGGCTTTTGTTCTGGACACAAGGTCTCAGCAGGTATCTTACTTAACACATACTTTATTTCAAGCTACAGCTTATTTTTCATGTTTTTAAAAATAGTGACTCTACTAATCAAAAAATCTTTATGTTTAGTGTCCTTTCTAAGAAATTTCTCCATGTTCAAAAATGCCCCCAAAATAGTCTGCTTTTTTCCCCTAGAACCCGAAAAAGCATTTGCTAAAACTCACCATCCTCTTCATGATAAAAATTCTGAATAAATTACAGACAGAAGGAACACCCCTCACCGCCATAAAGGGCACATATGATGAACACACAGCCAACATCACACTGAATAAGGACAACTGAAATCATTTTCTGTAAGATCATGGAGGAGACCAGCATATCCGTGTTTACCACACTGTCCAATGTAATGCTAGAAATTTTAACCAGAGCAATCAGACAAGAGAAAGGAACAAGACATACAAAGAGCAAAGGAAGAGATCAAATTATCCTTGGTCGCAGGATAGAAAACCCTAAAGACTCTACCAAAATGTTATCAGAATTTATTATTGAGGATACGGTCCTCTAGGCATGGCCTAGCTGATGCGCAGCACTGTGAATCACACTGACCAGATTGGGTCTGGTAATGTCCCATTATGGAGTTCTTACCATGCCCCCAAGGACTTGTAGTCAATTAATGGCAGCTAGGGGGAGGGGCTCCTGAGGACCCGCCCCTCCGGGTATAGGCAGTTAATGGTTAATGGGAGAAGACATTTTCTTCAGGGGTTCTGCCGCTTGTAAGTTGCCTATGCTGATGTAAATGTTCCTTCACCCACTCTCTTGTAAGCAATGCTAATTAAACTGTCTGAGTTACCCAGCAAGACTTGGGGTGGGTTTGTTTCTTTAGTCTGGTTTAGTCTGTTATGTGCCCTATTGAGGTGAATAGACACTGCTTTGTTTACACAAGAAAACTTCACATAACACAGATAAATACAGTAAGGTAGCAAGGTAACAAAATCAATGCATTAAAAATAAGTAGCTTTTCTTTTGTTTTGTTTTGTTGTTTTTTTTTTTTGCAGGGGGGCGTTGTTTTTGTTTTTCAAGACAGCATTTCTCTGTGTAACAGCTCTGGCTGTTCTGGAACTCACTTTGTAGACCAGGGTGGCCTCAAACTCACAGAGACCTGCCTGCCTCTGTCTCCTGAGTGTTGGGATTAAAGACATATGCCACCACTGCCCAGCTAATAAGTAACTTTTCTAACCTAATGAACTTGCTGAGAAAGAAATGAGTAATCTATTCACAACACACATGAATATGCAACACACATACATACACATATATACAACACATATACATACACACATGCATACACAACGCACATGCATACAACACACATGCATACACAACACACATGCATACACACAAGCATATACAATACACATACATATTCACATGCATACACACCACACATACACACATGCACAGCCTAACAATAAACCTAACTAAGGACAAGAATGA